ATCGCTGGATTCAGAGTCCAGAGTGCTGACCATTACACCATAGAACCGTCAATTCTGACGATAAATGTTGATCCTTTGCCGAATATATCGACCAAGTATGGCTTTCAGGTTTTCTTTAGACTATTTATAACTCTGAAAAGATTTCATCGACCATCGGCAATGGCCCCTTAGCTCAGTCGGTTAGAGCGCCGTGCTAATAACGCGGATGTCATGGGTTCGAGCCCCATAGGAGCCAGAGATCTGTTTTGTTTTACCTACGAAGAAAACATTGGGGTATCTAAGTAGTTATGTGCACAGCAGTTTTAGATGAAATTATACTAAAAATATTACAGAGATATTCTCTGAATTTCATCTCCGGCGGGATTCGAACCCGCGACCTCTGGATTAGAAGTCCAGCGCGCTATCCGCTGCGCTACGGAGACAGCCAAGAGACACTGGAGCTGGGAAAATTCCACCCCAAGTAGACGAAATGCTGCTGAATTAATGAACCTGTAGGCAAGAAACACGACGAATCAGACTGTCCAAACCTTTAAAAATAAAAACAGTAAGGTTCTACCGAGACTCGAACTCGGATCGCTGGATTCAAAGTCCAGAGTGCTAACCATTACACCATAGAACCGTTGTGGCCTGACTACCGTATAGGCCGCATCTTGCAAATCTAGGGGGTTTGGGTTAGGGTTAGGGCTCAGCTGTGGGCAGGTAACAAATCTTGAAGGGATATTCCTATGATCCTTACATTTTCGATTTTGTCCGTAAGGGTCATATTTAAAGAATATCTCTGTATTATAGCCTACCTTTTTTAACTGTATATAGACCTATTCTTTTAACAGACCGTTATACCCGCTTTGATAGTACGCCACGTGCTTTCACCTGCCGTAATGTCAAAGCGTGAATAACGATCTATATACTTTTTTATCCAGTCCTTTTCACACAATATAGTCGTGTAGACTTTTAATTTTACCTTTTATTACTGCACAGCAGTTTTAGATGAAATTATACTAAAAATATTACAGAGATATTCTCTGAATTTCATCTCCGGCGGGATTCGAACCCGCGACCTCTGGATTAGAAGTCCAGCGCGCTATCCGCTGCGCTACGGAGACAGCCAAGAGACACTGGAGCTGGGAAAATTCCACCCCAAGTAGACGAAATGCTGCTGAATTAATGAACCTGTAGGCAAGAAACACGACGAATCAGACTGTCCAAACCTTTAAAAATAAAAACAGTAAGGTTCTACCGAGACTCGAACTCGGATCGCTGGATTCAAAGTCCAGAGTGCTTTTTTTTTTTTTTTTCTT